CTTTAACAGGCTTTTGAGCCGCTGGTTGGGCAGGAACTGGGACATAGGGCCGAGAGCTCACCCCAGCCATGGTGGGGCTCGAACAGCCGGAGCTGTTCGGCCAGATGTTAATGCAGGCTTCACTTACCGCCTGTGCCACCGCTCCTTTATCACATGCTCCAGCTGTTCAAGCCCATAATTGATTATGGGTGCTTAACATCCATAAAGACTGGCAGGTGAAGCCCTGCATTGTAGCTTACAGGGCTGAAGATTACAAATGGGAGGTAAGTATGATACCTGTAATGCCTTTACCATCCTTCTTTCATTTACTGGATGGTTATACAGCATCACCTAAATATAATTTTGCTTAATCTGGAATGCTTTTCCCTTTTATTTTGTAATCAGTTAGAGTTGTTCTTTTTGTAGTTTGGTGCTAGAATATTGTAATGCTCTTTGGGCTATTTATACATGCATCCTTTGAAGTAGGCTTTTTATCTTGTGCATGTAGCATCCAGAAATCCAACTTGCACTAATTCTTCTTTAGAGCCTTGTGACCAATCTAAGGCTCCTTCCTTATACAACTCTCCATGAATTGAAGCATTGTTTTGTCTTTCTGGGCAAGAGAAAACCTTCTAATGAACTGTATCTCTGAAAACAGTACTAGAGACATTTCTGGTTCAGTTGCAGTTGGGTTTTTATTCTTAGAAGTGGTCATTTTAGTGTTTGTTTATGATAGATTCAAGTGGGTAGCCATGTTGGTGTGAAGCAGTAGAACAAAGTTAGAGTCCAGTGGCACCTTTAAGACCAAAGAAGTTTAATATTGGGTATAAGCTTTTGTGTACATGAACAATTCTTCAGTTTTGGTTGATGTTTCCTGTTCCTTGCATCTTTTGTGCATCTTCACATTGGCAGTCATGACCTATTCTAAGAGTTAGCAGATGTGCGAAGTGTATTTAGTGTCAGTGATGAACAATAGGATATGTTCCTGGCCAATATAAGTATTAAATTGTACTGGAATAAACTCTTTAGCTGTGCAACAGACGGTCCTTATGCATTTTTTATTGAATCATCTCTGCCTGCGTTGATTTGTTCTAGATGGAGCCTGAGAAAGCCTTGTTCCGTTTATCTTAATGAAGTTTAGTCACTCTCATTACATTTGTCTGTTATAAGGGTGTACAAAGAGGCCCATGGATTTCCACACCCTCACTCACCCTGAAAATCCTGTGTCAAATAATAATTCTGTGCCCTCAAGTCACAGCCAACTCATAGCAGCCCCAGGACCATTGGGGTTTCAAAGCAAGGGATGTTCAGAGGTGGTTTGTCATAGCACCCACAGTTTTCCTTGGTGGACTCCTATCCAAGAACTAACCATGGCTGGCCCTGCTTAGCTTCCAAGTTCTGATGAGCTCAGGCTAGTCAGGGCTATTCAGGTAAGCAAAGAGTGGGAATTGGGCAAAATTGCCTTCACTTGCTCTTGCATGAGTGTTGGAAGCCTCAAGGCTGAGTTTGCTGCGCTCACTCAAGAAGGAGGGGTCTAGCACACCATTAGTAAAAGACTGATGACCTCTGTGCTTGTTGTCATATTAGTCATGGGAGTCTGTCACTTCTATTTTGCAGAGGAAATAACTGTGCAGTGCTAAGCAGACAGTTACACCCACCTAAATCGGTTGAAATTGGTGGGCGTAACTCTGCTTATAAATGTGCTGTTAACTCTGTTTACAAAATGAACTGCACGGCTATGAGCTGTTCAGCAAATCCACTTGATCTGTAGCTATTCTGATTATTCCTTAGTTGATCTCCAGTGCTAATAGATGGTAGTGACTTCATGGAGAAGATTAACAGGTTGGTGCTAAGCACCCTTTTATAGCTAATGAGGTACTTGGGGGGCACTTACAGATGGATTATGGTATTAATCTCTCACACAAATTTTTGATTTTACACCAGTGTACTAAATTGATTCCTGTGTGTTACACATGGTCACTACTCTTATGCATTCCCAAACATGAGATTAATGTTATTTTTAGCTTGTTGAATCTGTGGTTGGAAGTATGTAATCCTGCTGTGCTAAATAAAAATAGTCAAAGACCATGCCAGTGACAGTAACAGAATTTTTTTAACTCTACTTTGTTTACTTGGTTGTTGTTTTTGGCAAAACTCTTACCCAATAATCCATTCTACAGTCTGCCCTAGCCAAGGGGCCAGAACAAAAGTTCACCAGGACCCAGGCTAGTAAATCACAGTAAAGAGTACGAGAGAGAGAGAGAAGAGAGTGGATTTATACCCTGCCCTTCACTACCCGAAGGCGTCTCAGAGCAGCTTACAATCCTTTTCCCTTTCCCTTCCCCTCCCAACAGACACCCTGTGAGGTAGGTGGGGCTGAGAGAGTTCTCTCGAGAACTGCCCTTGAGAGAGCAGCTCTGAAAGAATTTATGACTGACCCAAGGTCACACCAGCAGCTGCATGTGGAGGAGTGGGGAATCAAACTCAGTTCTCCCAGATTAGAGTCCCCACTCCTAACCACTACACCAAACTGGTAAGATGCAACACAATGCCGAGTGAAGAACTGATGAGCAAGTCTCCACAAATTCACTCACCAGGGAAGGTGTCCAGCTGCACACAGATCTCCTTTCTTACAAATTTCATGGAGGATATAGAAGAGAGGGTGATTCTATCGTGTCATGCTAAGCACCAGAAGTGCTTCTGTCCAAAACACAATAATCAAGAACCCTGGCATGTTCAAGGGAAGGGAAGGGCTGAAGGCAGCCACAGATATCATCTGAGCCCTGCAAGTTAGTTAAGCCATATGATACAACAGAAGAACACACTTTCATTTTTGAGCCAAAATACAGTAATATGTTAGATGATGGACATGAAATGAACCATCTCTCCACCTACCCAGCATTCCAACTCTTGTAGCAGCCTATGGTACCCAGAGGAATAGTGCACACAATTGTAAAAGCATTTGCCTCTTTTGCAGCCAACACTGACTGCTTAATAGTTTTATTTGTTTGTTTACTATGTTTATATCTCACCCTTCTATTTAAGTACTCCAGGAGGCATATGATGGTTGGCTCCTGTACAAAATCTCTGCTGATGGTAGGGATTTTTGTTGGTAGAGCAGGACTTCTCTGCCCCCCCCCTCACATACCACAGCCCCAAAATGCGCTCCAGTGCTCCTTCCGGGGGTCAGAAGACCCACTCAAGAACACTGTGGGAGGGAGTTGAAAGTCTGCCATGGGAGGGGTAATTTTCTCTGGATCCAGCCCAGTATTTAAAAGAATAAATCAAGAAATATTTATTTACTTATTTGGTTTATATCCCGCCCTGTCCCAAAAATGGGTTCAGGGCAGCTCACAACAATTAGGATCTAAGTAAACGATAATACCATACAATAAAACCAAGTTAAAACAGTCAAACAATAAAACAAGATGGCAGCAAAAATACAAAAAACTCCAGGGCAGTCCTTAATGCCTTCTGTAGGATGATTAGTTCAACGTATTTCTATGGACATTTCTGCAGACAGGGGGGGCTGAGATGGATTGGATGTCTGTCACCTCAGCTAGAGGCCTGGCAGAACAGCTCCATTTTGCAGGCCCTGCAGAACTATAACAAGTCCCACAGGTACCCGATCTCACATGGGAGCGTGTTCCACCAGGAAGTATGGCCCATTAGATACATTGGAAATTCTGAGTAAGCCTACATAGGATTGTGTTGTAAACTGAGATAAACTCTCTTGTCAGCTAGGCTATTGACGAAAATTTTGTTTAAAGAAACTAAAATTGGGTGGTAATTCAGTTAAGCATAGTCATTGACGTTTCTGTAAAACTCTCCTGTAGTAAGATCAGCAGATGGTTTTCTTCAAAAGTATCCCAGCTGTTTGGGATAGCAACCAAGCAAAATCTAGGGAAAAAAAATAAATGTAATAGGATCGGATCCTGTGAACTAGTTCCATGCCTACTAGATAGTCTCTGCCATAGAACACGCTTCCTCTTACACTAGCATTTCTGTTTGCACAAGATCAATAGTTTTCAGAAAGCCATTGTACAAATGGAAGTGCTAGCGCAACAGTAAGTACGTTCCATAGCACGCATGGAGCTTCTTCATAGGATCCAAGCCCTGAACTTTTGCAAACACCATGTTGTTACAGGACTGACCGACAGTGCAAATCCTATGCAGAGCTGATTTGAATGGATTTAGGGGTCTACTGGTAGCAGGAGCTCCTTTGCATATTAGGCCACACACCCCTAATGTAGCCAATCCTCCAAGAGCTTACAGAGCTCTTCTTACTGGGGCTATTAGTACCTGCTATGTTGCAAGTTCTTAATTACAGAATGCAGTGATTTTGTCCTGGTCCTCTTTTCTCTCGGTGTCTGATGAGTTAGGCTGAACCCCACATGGAGCTCCACTCGCTGATTCTTAACTACCCTGTCCTGCGGTAGCTCCCGTGTACTCTGTGAAAGCAGTTTGTGAGGGTCAGGAAGAGGTGAGCTACAGCAGGAAAAGGCAATTAGCCAAAAGCAGTCCCTTCCCAGTAAAAGCAGGGTTCTCTTTACACTGGGAGCAGCTTAAGATTGAATTGAATTTCAGAACGTTTTCCTTTCTGCAAGGACAAATTAGAAATTTGTCATAATACACTTATGTACCAAACTGAGCTCAGTGCCCCTTTCAGGAACGCAGATGATGGCTGGTGCATTTAACCTCTGAATTCCAAGGCAGATAAACCACACACTCTGCTTCTCACTTGCGGTTTGCTTTTACTGAGCCTAGTGGGGCAAAAGCAGCTTGGGGATTGCTTTTTTCAGTAAAAAAGAATAGGTTCAAGTGTACTTCCCACACTATTCTCCTTTGGTAGGCTAGACCAGAGCATGCTGGCTTCCATTTTGACACTCTCTGGCTCTTTCTGCATTTGTTACCTTAGTTTCCTTACTACATTTTCATTATTGTTCATGTTTTATACATGTTTTTAGTTTGCTAAACACTGCAGTTGTATTTACTGTAGTTTTCTGTTTTTTCCCCCCTAGTTACAATTACCTCTACTGGAGAAAAAGGTAGGAATCTCTCCCTGTGTATATAAAATATAGTTTAAAACTTGTATTTGTTTTTGTTTTTCTACCTGTCTAGGGAGTATATCTGAATCTTAAACTCATGTTGCTAAATTGTTTGCACAATCTTATGTTCTAGGATTTCATGAAAGTAGATTTTTCAAAATGTAACTGTGCAAAACTTCCCCCTTTCCATCATTTCTTTATACCACTTATATCCTGCATGTATTTCATTTCTTGCTGATCTCTCCCTTTGTTCCCCCCTGCCTGTTTTCAAGAACTGCAAAGAGTCATTGCTCATTCTTTCTACCTGTTACAATCCTATAATATTGGAATGTGAGAATTAAGTTGCATAGTTGTGATATATTTTAAAGGGTGCAATACAGGATCAGTAAAAGGGATCAGTTTAGCTCACTAGACATGCATTTGAGAAGCTGATTAATGAAATATATCCCAAGGGAATTGAATGGGCACACCTTTGGCCATTGGTAAATTGGCAACGTAAATCTTCGTAATTGCTGCTATTTTATGTGAGATATGAGAACATGATCTGTTGGTTTTTGCAGCAGAGGGTTTCTGCTGGAAACTGTCCACCTGCACTGCCTCCTTGTTCAGTATGTTGTTGCCCGATTATGAGAAATCAGGGGGAAATTATTCCATTTAGAAAATTGCTACCAGGGTCCTCATAAGGTGGCTATTGAAATGTACCCATTTTCATTGAAGGTCTATAACTGATCACTGATGTGGAGCAGCAGAAGTTCTGTCTAATTTGTTTGCCTTTCTCTTTAGAATGTCAACCTTTCTCTAGTTATTGCTGTTGCATGAGTTCCAAACTGCTTCAAACATGTTTCTCTACAAAACTTAACAGGTTGAATCCAGCAATCCCATCAGCAGGAGGTGCTTCTGGGCACAGATCTTCCCTGCCCGCCCCTCGCCCCAGCAGTCCTTTCCAACCCTGTGAAAGTTTGTTCCTGGAGTCGAGACCTGCATGAAGTAATAGTCACACAGGTTGGGAGGCTGCTGTGGAGAGGAGGAAAGGAATCCAATTGCCTCTTCTGTCAGTACCTCTTCTGCTGAGGAAAAGGAGGCAGGGAGCATCCCTCTCCTCACAGCAGTTCACAGTCCATATACTTCAGGCAGGTCCTGTGACCCCAGGATTAAACTTTCCCAGAGCCAGAAACGGGTGCTGGGGCAGAGGGAGAAATTGGGGAAGATCTGCAGTACTTGTGCAGTCTTACACCTGTTCTTTGTGGGTCTAATTTGTCATGGTTTCCCTAAAAATCCTGGGAACTCTAGTTTGCTGAGAATGGTCTCACTGACAATGAGATCCCAAGTCCCCCAATCAGTTTTACAAATTCTAGGGTAATCACTTACTGTAAACTAACTCTGTGGTGTGAATATGCTCCAAGTGTTCTAATTACTTCCTCTTTAGTAGTGCCTTTATTATACTAGTTGGGAACGTTGCCAGAGTGCATTTCTTACTAAGAAGCTATCCGTATTCACAGTATACTGTTCTCACTACACCACAGCCCTAATTTTGCCACTTGCAGTTGTTTTCCATCCTTCTTTGTGATTTCTGTTGTTTTGGTCATTTTCAGAAGTTAGTCTCTGGTTTTTGTTATTGGAGACTTTACTTCTTTCAGACCCTGGCATTCAGAATGTGTGTTTGACAATTAACTCTGAATTTAGGTTGGACTCCAAAAACTCTACTTTGGTGGACCCCCCCCTTTTTTTAAAAGGGCAGTTGTTGGATTTTGGAGGTTAGTCCAGCAAGGCAGGGCCCTGCAGGGTTCCTTTCCTTCTGGTGAGCTCCTCAGCAGGCCTCAGATAGTCACAGGGGAGGGGGGTGCGACCGCACCCTAGTCCCTCTCCCCTGCGAGCTCCAGGATGCTTTCCCATTGTCTCTGGGCTGTGAGGGGGGTGCGACCGCACCCTAGTCCCTCTCCCCTGCGAGCTCCAGGATGCTTTCCCATGGTCTCTGGGCTGTGACGGTGCTCTTCCTCCCTGGCTGTCACTGTCCCGTGTTTTAAAGTCCCTCCTCCAGGCTGGAGCCTCCCCAGACACACCAATCCTCCCTCCTTGGGACTGGGTTGCCGCAACTGGCACTTCCCCCATCCATTAGGATGTTAATGCTCTGGCCCTGCCTCTTTCTACCACCCTTTGATTTTGCCATGCTGGGGCAATCTGGCATTTCCCACCACCCTGGGAGGGTCTCCCATCATCAGTCCTGCTTGTGGTAAGAGCAGGGGAGGGGAAGCCACCCCTGGACAGAAATTTCCTATAAATTAGCATTTGTAGTTTTTATCACTCGATGATAGTGTGTGCAGGCAGCTCCTAGAGCAGATGGAATTCCTGTAATGCTTCTATAAGCTTAATAGTATATCTTCTTAAACATTCTTCCTTTTCAGCTTGAAAAAGTAGGACAACAGTTTCTCTTTCATATGAGAAGACAACAGAAAAAAATAACATTAGACATTCATGCTAGAAAAAGTGCCTCTTGACACCATGCAATCATTTATCTTCTCCTCCCACCTCACATCAGTTGGTGATAGAAAGTACAGTCTGTAATTATCTCTAAGATTTGATGTGCATTGCGGCAGCTCTTGAATCTTGAGAGAATAACAATCCTGCTTCATTAGCTTCCTAATTAGGTTAAATCGGACACGTGTCTTCAGAAAACCAGGTTGAACTAGCCTAGCAGAGGAACAGCAAGACAGATGACTAAGACCAAAAGCAAGTAGCTGAACTTGGCAGTCTTGTAAATTAGGTTGAGTAGGGAGCTCTTCGCCAAGGCACAAGCTTAGTGCTGCTCTGGGACCCATCAATCCACTGCACTGATGCAAGTACCAAGGCACAAGCTTATTGCTGCTCTGGGGCATGACCCATCAATCCACTGCACTGATGCAAGTCTCCCATGCCTGCACAGGGTTTTGGACCCTGAGATTTTGGCACAACACAATCCAGAGGCTGTGCCATAGTCACTAATGCTGCCCTGTTCTGACTAGGAATGATTATAGCTGCTGCAACTGGCCGCAACCTCTGAAGCATAGGGCTGCCAGATTTGCTAGAGGTCAGCCACCTAAGACAGTTCCAGGAATGTGTTTGTTGGGTGTGTGTATGTGTGTTTCATCAGTGCAGGACAAACCATGGTTGTGATCCATGGTGTGTAGCCCCTTTTACATTGATGTGTGTTTGCTAGGAAGAAAATGCATGACAATGATGGCTTAACAATGCAATCCTAAACAGAATTACACCCTTCCAAGCCCATTGATTTTGCTCTGTTTATGATTACTTTATTCCTCTGCTCAGGATTGTAGTGTAAAAGACATCAATGCAAATCTTCATCTAATTATGGCTTGATAGTACCAGTTGTAATAATAATAAACCAGATGTACAATCATGTTACTGTATTCTGCTTAGCACTAGTGCTTAAATGTGAATTGTTGTTGTTGCTGCTGCTGCATTCAGATGGAAAATGTCTTCAAGCTGGTGGAAGTCTGCGGTCTTTTCTTTTGTTCTAACATTAAATATGATATCCATGCCTTTTATGATTATTATTTCGGAACACATGGCTTCTTCATACTGATAGTCCCTAACTGCTGAAGTTATTTTCTTAAACATAAGTTGCCTATGACTATTAAAATCATAGAATCATAGAGTTGGAAGTGATTTCCAGGGACATAATCCAACCCCCTGCACAATGCAGGAAATTCACAAATACCTCCCCCCCACACACCTCCAGTGACCCCTGCCCTATGCCCAGAAAAGGGGAGGACCCTCCAGGATCCCTGGCCAAATTGGCCTGGAGAAAAATTGCTTCCTAGCCCCAAAGCGATCAGCATTTCCCTGGGTGTAGTGGTTAAGTGTGCGGACTCTAATCTGGGAAAACCGGGTTTGATTCCCCACTCCTCCACTTGCACCTGCTGATGTTACCTTGGGTCAGTCACAAGCTCTGGCACAGCTGTCCTTGAAAAAGAGCAGTTTGTGTCAGAGTTCTCTCAGCCCCACCCACCTCACAGGGTGACTGTTGTGGGGTGGGGAAGGGAAAGGAGTTTGTAAGCCGCTCTGGGACTCCAAGTGAAGGGCAGGATATAAATCCAATCTCTTATCTTCTTCTTCTTCTGGGTGTGTAAGAAAGGGCCACGAGAACTAAGCACTGAGGCAACCCTCCCTGCCCTCCCTCTCATGATCTGCCTGAGTTCACAGAATCAGCATTGCTGTCAGGTGGCCATCCAGCCTCTGTTTGAAGACCTCCAAAGAAAGAGAGCCCACCACCTCCCAAGGAAGCCTGTTCCACTGAGGAACAGCTCAAACTGTCAGGAGGTTCTTCCTAATGTTTAGTCAAAAACTCTTCTGATTTAATTTCAACCCGTTGGTTCTGGTCCGACCTTCTGGAGCAACAGAAAACAACTCCACACCATCCTCCCTATGACAGCCCTTCAAGTACTTGAAGATGGTTATCTTATCACGTCTCAGTCTTCTCCTCTCTAGGCTACTCAGAGAGCACCTATAAACACATTCTTTAACATAAACTATACAAATAGTGTAGATTCCACAGTGCTATTTATACCACAACCCAGATCCTATTTCATTGTTTATTGAATGTCCCATCTTGTTGATTGTATTGACTCTGTGTAATCTACCTTGGGGCCCAGCAAGAAAGGTGGACTATAAATAGCATACATAAGTATATACAGAAATACTATAGCACTCATTTCTCCTTTTGCCAAATATAATTAGCAAGGTAGGTTGCTTCAGTCAGCAAGCAACTATTTTGTGCCTGAGAAGTAGTTTTAATGGAGGAGTTGTTTCAATTTGAAAACCTCCTGGTCATCTCTGATGCAGTCATTAGATGCTAGTTTCTCTCTTGGGCACACTGACTTTTCAGTGTAGATGGCCCCCTCTCATGTAGCCGGTGCAGATATACTGAGGATTTGTGTACAATGAGTCTCATCCCTCTTCTAAATTTATAGTCAGGTTATGGAACTGTCTGTTAACATGTGCTTTCCTTCTCTGCTAGAAGTAAATAGGAGCCTTTCATCTCTGTAAGAGATGAAATACCTGAAATGGTAGCAAAACTTGTCTCTTTGAATGGAAGATCAGAGGCAAATTGACACTGAGAAGACTCTGTCTGGCCATCCTTTTTTGATCTTTTCATATTGACAGTGATGCAAACAGATTGGAGAGAGATTTCAAAGGAAAACACGTGACAAGAAAGTTAGAAATGTGTGCAAGAAAACAGAAGGAAGCGGGCATATTAGGTTAGAAGCAGATCACAGATGCAACTGTGCAGTCTTTAGCAATCACAAGGGAACCAGAAGGGAAGGGGAGAAACAGGCTTAGCAGAGCACCTAAGAACTGCACTTGTAGCAAAACAGATTGAACTAGGGCAGTGGTGGCAAACCTATGGCACAGGTGCGAGAGGTGGCACTCAGGGCTCTTTCTGTAGGCACGCATGCCATCGCCCCAGCCAGGCCCAGACCATCATTAAAGTGTCGAATTCTCTGCCAAATAATTTTAAGTAAATGAAAGAATTTGGGATTGCTTTCCTTACTTTGTTTGGATCATCTTAAGTTAATATATGAGTTGTTTTTTCTAAAGTAAAACCTCAGTATTCAGGTTAAATTGCCATGTTGGCACTTTGCGATAAATAAGTGGGTTTTGGGTCACAGTTTGGGCACTCGGTCTCTAAAAGGTTCGCCATCACTGAACTAGAGTGTCATAAACAATGTCCCGAATGAAGGAGCTGTTAGCTTATGCATATCTGTGAAGGTTGTAAAACATGTTAAAGATATTAGAACCTTTAAATCAGGATGGGTTGATTTTTAAACCCTCCGGGTTTCCGATTTGCATGCAGGTTAGACTTTCTTTTTAAAAAGTGCACAGTAATCTTGATTTGCTGCTGAATAGAGCCATTATACCATACAGAAGGGTGTGTGTGTAATTTTTAAACTATGTTAGATAATTTTACATTGTACAGTTTCCTATTAAATCCTGATAAAACATGCCGAATCAGATCACAGTCTGTTTTTGGCATCAGATAATGCTCCAGTTCTAATTTTTCTAGAAAACCCACATCACTGCATATGTCTGATGGAGGTACCTACCTACCAATCTACACACACATACCATAGATTAACAGTGTTTTGAAATATAACCTCTGTGTGTCCCCTCCCTCTTGTACCTGTGAACCAAATAACCCAGATTTCATGAAAGCAAGGATTAATAGCTGTGCAGAGAAAAGCCCCTTCCCTTGTGGGATAGAACATACATTAGGTTGATATTCATAATTTGAGAAATTACCAAATTACAAAACACAGGGGGCATGTATTAGATATACCAGATCATCTAGGTGGGCTCAGTGGATGATTCTGATGCAAAAAAAGAGTAGTAATTCTTGGAGCAGGAACTGAGCCCCAATAGTTATGATGTCATATCAGTTCCATACACCCTTTATCAGGCCCTCAGTAATAAATATAACGCCTACAAGGCACATTGTTTACATAAGAGAGTAAACCTTAACTCAGTGGCTCAATTCAGGTATCCTGCCAAACCATGGTGTTTATTGACTAATGCAGCTCAAACCTAGTGTGAGCTTCCAAACAGTGTGGCCTCTTGAGTTTTAGAGCTTCTTCTCTACTTTTGTGTTCTGCCTGCTCAGTGTTCCCATCTCAAGGTGCAGTGGCTTCTGAAGGCAGAATATTGGGTTGGACTCAGCCTAAATTGGCAGTTTCTGTTGATTTCCCCCCTTCCTGCTGCAGACTCTGCCCATGCAATTCCTTGGGGGTTCCTGTCTCCCCGGAACAGCTTCTTGCAGAGATCAATGGGCTGCAGTGGGAGGTAGGAAAGTTCCGTTCTGCTGTTGGGAAATTCAGTCTGGATCCATTAGCCATAACTTGTTAATTCAGACATCACGCCAAACCACAGCTAGCACAAAACCATCATTTGCAAGCCTACTTAAAGTAATGACTCATTATCCTGTTAGTTAGCTAGCTACAAACAATGATTTATCAATTTGTAAACCCCATCACACTGTCATTAATTGTAACAGTATATGGCTTGGTGTGATGTCTGAATGAAATGAAGTGTGTTCAGTATAGGTTGCCAGTTATGGGTTGAAAATTTTCTGGAAATTGGGGGGGCAGAGCCTGGGAAGGGAAGGTAGCTCAGTAGGGATACGATGCCATAGTCCACCCACAGAAGCTGCCATTTTTTCCTCCAGGGGAATCGATTTCTGTAGTCTAGAGATCACTTGTAATTGTGGGAGAACTCCAGGCCCCATCTGGAAGCTGGCAACCTTAGATACTGCATCATGGATTCATTCTTAAGTGATTATAAATATAGATTTTGCTTGTACTGTATTAAGTTTTGATAGAATTTACAGCATTTTTAAATAGTCTGCCATTACACCTGATTTTTTTAAAAAAAAACTGACTTCAAATATGAATAATATTTTCAATCTGCCTTTCTTAAAATCCTTTCAGTTCTGATTACCCAATACTTTATTAATCAAAAGTGGCCACAGTAGCATAATTGTGGTAATCGATTTCATTGATATGTTAAAGCAGACTTACTTGTGTTTTGCATCCTAAGCCATTGCATTTTTGGTTTATTGTTTTTGCTCTTTTTTAGCTGTACTCACTGAAACCTTATTTGTATTTTATTTTTATTGCAGTTGTCTACCTTGTGATTTTTCATCTGTCGTTTGTCATGTTTGTGTGGTCCTATTGGAAGACAATTTTTACATCTCCCGCCTCCCCTTCCAATGAGGTAAATGTCAACATTGGCGAAATTACACCACCTTTGCTATTGAACCACTTTTGCTGCTGATGCTTGCTTTAAAAGTACAATATCGCTTAATTTTTTTGTTCCCCTTCAGTAACTAATGTAGTATACAGCTTGTGTGCAAGTTACCAGATTATGTTCTAAAGCTACCGTATTACTTTGGTTTGCTATGATTTCATTAATTTGAATGTGAATTATTCCGATAGTCCAGGTGAAGTAATCTGATAATACAACATTCAGGTATAAGAGTTTGAAATGCAGTCCTGTTGTTTAAATTTATAACCCTGTCCTCTGACTCAGCTCATACTTATTTCTGTAAACCTCTGTATTTTAATGATTTTGCATTACGATTAGAACCTAGACCCGTACTTGCTTGGGAGCTGCTTTTGTTGTGAGCAGACTGCCTAAAACACCCCAACAGCAAACAAATGCCATAATTTTGTTACTTCCCTGAGTTCCTTGGAATAAAGGTAGGATGCTGGGAAAGATTGAAGGTCAAAGAAGACGGGGACGGCAAGGGATGAGATGGTTAGACAGTGTCATAGATGCAACGAACATGAAATTGAGCCAACTTCAGAGGACGGCGGAAGACAGGAAGGCCTGGCATGATCTGGTCCATGGGGTCGCGAAGAGTCGGACTCGACTGTGCGACTGAACAACAACAAAAACATGTACTAAAATAAATACAAGCAATCTGTGTGTTCAGAGTTAGCACAGGATCACTGCCGTTTTGTGCCGAGCAGGGTGGACTGTATTTACCCATCCCAACATGCTAAATAATCAACATGCAGAATGACCCAGGATCACATTATTTGGAAATAATACTGCAACTCCTAGACGAAATTAAATCTTTCTTATTTATTAAAGGCATATTTATGCTGCCTATCCACCCAGCTTGGGGTTCCTCAAGGTGGTGAGCAATCAACACCATTAAAACAAGCTTTTAAAAAGTAAAAACAATTAAAAGCAACAATTAAAAATTCACGTAAATGAGAAGGGAGGTCTGTGAGGGAATGCCATGTGAAATGGATAAAACTTCACTGCTAGTGGAAGACAGTGATAGAGAAGGACAGGCGAATCTCCCTTTCTTGAAAAAGTAGCATATTAAACGTGGCTTTTGTGAGAGAGGCAACTGTAACATGTTTACTGTAGCTGTAGCATGTTTTTGAAAAATACTGCTGTCTTTTTAGGGATTCAGCACAACATAGGTTCTTTCACACAGTAGGGGAGGGCTGGTTTTTCTGTCACTGAAAAGTTGGGCTGTAGCAGACTTTATCAGCTGAAAATGTTTGTGGTTCATTTAAATTATTTAATCGCAGAAGAAGGTAGTAGGAATGGAAGAATATTGACTAGCCAAGATTACGTGTTGAACATATGAAACTGCCTTATACTGACTCAGACCCTTGGTCCATCGAAGATAATATCGTATATTCAGACTAGTAGTGGCTCTCCAGGGTCTGTGGTGGAGGTTTTTCACATCACCTCTTCCTTTAAACTGGTGATGCTGGGGATTGAACCTGGGACCTTTTGCATGCCAAGCAGAGGCTCTGCTTCTGAGTCAAGGCCTAACCCATACAATCTGTGCTTCCAAAAAACAATTGTACCTTGTATCCATGCAGTTATGTGATAATTTAGTGGCTTTCAGCCCTCATTTCAGTTCAAGCAGCACTTTGGGATAGAGTCCTGCAACAAGTCATGTAGCTCTGCTCTGTTCAGTCAATTGCAGCCTGGATGGGAAACTGCTTTTTAATACCCCCATCACACAGGATGTCTTCCATCTCCAAGTGAGAATAAGGCACTGGACTTATTAGGATTGTTCCTACCACTTGGATCTTATGTAGGGCAATCCTGCCTTGCTCACAGTTCCTAGGGAGCCAGTTTCTGTGATTGGATCTGAATTTCTTGGATTAATACCTGACTGGCATCTACTAGTAATCTCTATATGTTTTTATCTTTATGAATCTTGATAGAAAAATGCAGTTGAAGTGTAATTTTTTGAAAGGATATAAATTTAAGCAGAAGCCTTGTGGTACTTTTTTGATTAAAGAACAAAATACATTTTTGTGGCACCTTAAAGACTTTTTATTCTTGGATAAACTTTTCTCCCTGCTTTGATTATTCTATTTCTTACAACTTTGTATTAGAACAAATTTGTCAACAAGGTGGTTATCAAATGGCAAATGTAAACTTTCCTAATGTAGTAGAATATATTTTCAGTTTATTGAAAATGCAGTTCTTGTGTAATGTGGCATTCTGTAACTGAAGTGCCACAGTAATAAAAAACAAAATCCCAGCAGGTGGTCTTGGATTGCAGCACCACATCTTGTAATAACGACAGACAATTGGTATTGTGTGAAGCCTTGGAAGGGACAAAATAGAGCTGTTTTCTCCAGTTTACTTAGAAACCATTCTGGAGGTTGCCTGACATAGTCTTAGTTTTTCTTGGTTCGTAGGTTGCTGTTTCTTTTACCATAATATAGATATTGTTGGGCAGAACATTCTATACTCAGAGGTAGCTAAAAGCAGTATATTGCAGCATTAGCCATTTTATTTTAATCAGTATCTTCTGGTTGTCATTTAATATTTTCAGTGGTCGAGCTTTCTCTTCTTGTGGATGACTTATTCTGTACTCAGAGGTAGCTAAAAGCAGTATATTGCAGCATTAGCCATTTTATTTTAATCAGTATCTTCTGGTTGTCATTTAATATTTTCAGTGGTCGAGCTTTCTCTTCTTGTGGATGACTTTGTTTGCTCTCAGTCTTACAAACGAGTTGATAGAAAACACTTGCCCTGGAGTAGCAGCCAGAATATTCACATGATGTTCTTTTTACTTGAGGCAATATGTTCAGTAAAGTAAATTATATTGCTACAATAAAGCAGTTACAGATCAAGCATTCACAATTACAGCAGCTTGTTTTGTCTTCCTGGGCATGTTTTGTTGCTTTATATGAACTATGAGAGCAGCTACTCTTACTTCATTTTAATAACCATCCCATCACCTTTGCCTCTAATAGTAGACAATAATAAAAATTAGCAAGTGTCTCTTTTTTCCCCCTGTCATGAAGATAAATTACAATGAAAGCGTTGCCTGCTACTCGTTTGAGCAAAGAATTAAAAAAATGTGTTGATCTGCTAATAAGGCTGGTTCTGAAGACCACTGTATCCATGTTATGAGTCAGATGCAGTTGTTGCATATTGTGCTGATGTTCCCTGTATCATTATAGATGGTAGTGTACAAAGACACACATAAATGGTATTTAAATAGGTGAATATCACTGCCTGATGACCTTTGATTAATTAAACCACACCTAGGGTTGACCATAAGTGGCAAAATGGAATACTTTTATTTTGAGAGAGAAATTTTAAAGGGAAGCTTTGACTGACCGCTTCCTCTTTCAGGGCAGCAACACACATTATGTGTGATTGCTGCATACACACTTTTGGTATACTGTTGTTTCCCTGTGGATGGCGTACACACACGACATTCAAAAAGAGTTGTTTATCAGTTACTGGATAGCAATAAGTGTGAATAATCTCACTTAGCTGCTAAAATAACAGGTAATTTGGAATGGTCAGTCCCCTCCCCCACATCCTTTTAATGGCAAATGGGAAGTTACTATTTCTGCTGAAAAGGTGGGAGGGATTTGGTGGGAAGACACACACTCTTGGGATTCTTTCAGCTGTTCTCACTGCAGAACAGGTCCTGGGGAATGGCAGTTGGCCTCAAAGGACATGTCTCCTGCTTCCCCTGAAGAGGAAGATAAAATATCCAGTTGCCTGTTAAACTCCCAGCCCGGGTCAGCTGAAGGCCTGCGCCTGCGCCATGCTCTGTGCTCCCTGTGTTTCCTAGCTGTTAGCCGAACTGCTTTATCTACAGCAGCTGGCAGACTAAATTTATATCTGGATTCTTGCCCGTGTATACCAAGGTCCAGTCCACTCCAAGGGTTCGCCAGTGAAAGAGTCGAGACTAGTAGTTCCAAAATAATCTGTCTTTTACTTAAGAATATATATATAAATCGCATACACACAAATCAGATTCACACACACAATCAAGCAAGTTCCTCAGAAATACAGAATTAAAAATAGTCACTTTAGAAATCACAGGTAGGGTGATTGTGAGCAATACTTATCTGTCCTGAAGCTTGTCCGTCTCAATGAAGAATGAGGGGTCAGAATATTAGAATACTAGGGATTTTAACACACAGCTAGAAACCAGCCAGCATGTGTGGATCTCCAGGCTGCAGACCAAGAGATCAAGTAGGAACAAAGGATTTTTGGTATAGGAAGCTGGGCATGAGAGGCGTTTAAAGGCAGACAGGGGGTGTTGGGGGGAAGGTGGCTAGCAAAGCGCTAGGCAACTGGACCTCACCTTTTATAGGTGGATCTTTGGGTGGGTGGCAACTGAGCCAACCTGTGGACCCACCTACCTGTAAGTCCGTCCCAAAACTAACTTCATTGGTTGGGTGCAGTGAGGGGTGGCAACCTAAAGGGTTTGGCCAATATTGTAACTCTAGATCTTACTCAAGGGATGGCATCTGGTGAAGTGTGAAAGTTTGGTGTCAAGGAACCTCCTTGATGTGTAGATGAAGCTTGGCCTTTCCCAGGTAATCAAAGAGCATCTGGCAGGAAACTGTCAATTCAGATGTTAAGCAGAGATGTGTAATACATGTCTTTCAGCAGTTCATGAGTGGGGGCTGCTTTCAAACAAGTTGTTGTTTGCTGTCCATAATGGCGATTTGTGCTTCTTCCCTCAGGCTAGTAGCTGTGTATTTGAAACCTCGTTAACATGTAATGCAGGCACCATCTATGTGTATCTCACAACAGGTGATTTGTGCAGCTTTCCTTGAGCCTATGGGTGTATGTGGGCACAGTCCATGTAGTGTGTGGCAGCAAATATAAATCCATAAAGCAAATATCAGTCTCCTTCATAACATAGCAGTGTATGCACAGAACCCCATCCTTACCAATGCTGAGAGGTGGTTCCAATCCCCAGTATTTTTCTGCAAGAGGTCTCTAACATTGGTCGTGGCACTTTCCTCCCACCCCTCCACTTCTGGCTCTAATTAGGTCCAAACAAGCCATCACACATCACACAGGAGTGCATATACAGCAGTTTAAGTGACAACCATAAAGTGTAGTGACAAACCAGGACTGTGAACAATTACATGTCTGGCTCCTAGAAGACAGGTTTCAATCAGAATTGTTTGCCTCTCTTTCTCTCTTTCGTATGTATATCTCGTGTTGTCCTGGAAACTAGATAAGAGGAAGCAGTGAAAGCACAAGCTGTGTGGGGCAGAATCAAGTGTTTGTATGCCACTCCCAGGGAATAGGTGGAGGAAGCATCAGTAATGCTGAAACCCTACCTATGGTCCCTAGCTGTAGTTTTTCCTTAGGGCTTATCTAATTCCAAATGCATCTATACCCCACCCCTCCTCTTCAAAAACTGCTTGCTGTATGTAAATGGCTGGTGGGAAAGGTATTCTTTTAAAAGATATATATGGGGCAGTTCTAATGATCTTTTTAAACAAGTCAGGTTTTGCTATGTTTCGGTGTCTCAGCTGTGTGCTGTTCAATGTACTTTATGATTGTGCATTGCTTAAACTGGTTTTTAGCATATTAATCCTTCTGCCCTCTTCTTCAGTTCTGTTTATCCAAATCTGATAAAGAGCAATATGAAAAGGAAGAAAGACCAGAATCTCAACAGGAAATCCTGAGAAAAGCTGCAAAAGACCTTCCCATTTATACCACAACAGCATCAAGAGGTCAGCCTGTAAACAGTCCCATCATTGCCAAAAGTTTTTTAAGACCACAGTGACGCATGACACTTGACTGTGTTGAACCATCACGTTCTTCTGTCTGGTTTTAGCCTGTCTCTCTACAAACAGCCCATAGATAAATTCTCTAAAATGAAACCAACTACGATTTGTTATGGACATTAATTGTATTGTCAAGTTACAGCTGCGTTTTATCTATAGAGCACCATGCATGGGCAGACAGTATTCCTATTGTGGCAATTCAGCTGATGTTAGTCCTATATTATATTAATGTTCAGTATGTCAGATGTGTGTCTTGCATTCCTATTTACTTCTCACCTAAATATCTTGCATTAACTGTTAACCATCTTTATAGTCTGCCATGCATGTGATGAATCAATCTATTATCAGAGCTCCTTATTTCACAGTTTACCTGTTAAGCATTAAGATTCCTCAGTCATTTTAACATTTTAAGATATGATGAAACCTATTATGCAAAGCAGAGCATCTCTGAACTTACAAGCACGTATTTAATACCTTGATTTTTAAAATGTTTGATACAGCTATAAGATACTGTGATAGATGCCAACTAATCAAGCCTGATCGATGTCACCACTGCTCTGCCTGTGACCTGTAAGTACCTATTAGCTCTAGAGCAGAAGATACTTGTGTTGATTGAATGTTTCTGAGGGTATTCAGTAGCAAGGACATTATTTTTTCCTGATACAAGGTTGTTATCTAGTTGTTACACAAATACAGTTTAGTTTGCTTCACAGGGCATTAAACATGATTTATCACTACTCACAGTTGAGTGCCTTACAGTGCAATCTTAAACCAAGTTATACCCTTCTAAGCCCATTGACTCCATTTGAGTTTAGAAGGATATAAATCTGTTTAGGATTGCACTGTTAGCTTCTTCACACTATTTTATTTTCAGATACCAGATTAATAATAGAGATGTGTGAAACACATAAGCTATTCTGGTTGTTACAGTTACTAATACTGAGCATTTATACACCGCTTTCATAGTTCATCACACACATTCTCTTATAGTCCTCTAAGATTGGCCATCATTGCAATTGCAGTTGTAGGAGGGAAGGGGGGGAAATGATATGAGATTTGAACTGAAGACTTCTTGAGCCAGAGTCCTTTCTGTTAGCCACTATATAGATGGAGAGGAAGGAGATGAGGGGAAGGGGGAACCTATGTAAACAGTTTGGAGTCTTTTACCCCATTCCAACATTGATAGCATTTGAATAAGCTCGACTTCGCTGAGAGCCCACCTACTGTAAGTTTTCTATAATAGGCTAATGATTATACATTAGAATAAAGTATAGGAAAAAACATAAAGAGTATAAATTATAAAGTTCAAATTATGTAGGTACACAGTACCTTGGAACCCTGACCTGGATAGCCCAGGCTAGCCAAATCTCATCAGATGTTGGAAGCTAACCAGGGTCAACGGTGGCCAGTATTTGGATGGGAGACCTCCAAGGAATACCAAGGTCATAATGCAGAGGCAGGCAATGGCAAACCACCTCTGAACGTCTCTTGTCTTGAAAACCCTACAGAGTCAACATAAGTCAGCTGTAAGTTGACAGCACTATCTGGCATCACCAGTATCTTGGATTCCCCCCCACCCCCCATATCTTATGGTAATCATAAGGCAAAAATGAGATAGAGGCTTGCCTAGGGGCCACTGCAAGTGATGTGAGAGATACATGATTAAAATTCAGGGGAGTAAAAGAAGAGGGGTAAAACACCAGCTGGTGGGGAACAAATGTTATAGCGAAACAACACAGGAAAAAAATGGTTAAATGCTTCCTTCCCTGCCTCCACTATACATATATTGGCAGTTCCCCACAACTGCATTTCAGTAAAAACAATAGCACAGGGAGAGAGTCAGTACAGTGTAATGCAATGGTTAGAGTATTGGACTAGGACCAGGGAGAACTGGGTTCAGATCCCCACTTCCCATGAAATTTAATGGGTGACCATAGGCAAGTTGTTGTCTCACAGCCTACCCACCTCATAGAGCTGTCGTGTGAGGATGAAATGGAGAAGGGGGAGAACATTGTACATTGACCTGAACTCCTTGGAGGTAGGGTGGGAAATCATAGATCTCCTGTGTTACATGTAGGTTGGCCCCAAGGGCATCCAGTGGGATTTGAACCATGGTTTTCCTGGCTTATAGCTCATTCTTTCAACCACTGTGCATCATTGTCGGTATATAACTAACAGCAACCTTGTGCAGGACCTCTTGCTTTCTACATTTAGAGAGAGAAAATCTTTGCATGTCATGGGTTTGTGGAATTTTTAGCCCATTCGATTACATGGCAATGTCACTTCTGTGTTGTAACTACCTACTTTAGTGCATATTACTGGCTTAAAAATTAATGTTGTACATGAAGGATATGAATTATGGCTTAGTGGTTTGAGTGTCAAACTAGGATCTGTGTCTCTCCACCTAACCTATATCACAGGATTGCTGTAAAGATAAAAATGGAGGCAGGAAAATAATAATGTAAACCACTTTGGGATCCCTACGTTGGGATCTCCATTGGGAAATTAATGGGATATATATAAATAATAAATAAATTTTCCAGTAGCTGATTGGTTATTGTAATGAAAGGCAAACATGGAATACTTAGACTTTAAGTAGAATAACAGGACAGGGAGGAAGAAAGGGCTGCTTAAATTTTTTCCATTTCTTCTCTCCTATCTTCTCCTCCGCTCAGATTCTTATCCTCTCCTGGCATCTTTTCATTACCAAAAATCAGATATCGGAGGAGACCTTACTCTTTACCTCTCCTTCATTATTTATTTTCTTTCTTAAGTGAAATTTGTCAAGAAACGATTGCATTCATCTGCCATGTAACCTCTCCTTTGACATTGCATCTCCCATCTTGTACTGGATGGGAATTTTGGCAGTTGTAATGAGACGTTTTTTCTGCATTAAGAAGAAAAAGAGGTTTTTATACCCCTCTTTTCTCTATCTTAAGGAGTCTCACAAGTGGCTTAAAATCACCTTTCCCTTCCTCTCTCCACAACAGTTGCCTTGCGAGGTAAGTGAGGCTGAGAGAGTTTTGAGAGAGCTGTGACTGACCCAAGGCCACCCAGCAGGCTAGAGTCCACCACTCTTAACCACTACACCATGCTGGCTGAATGCTGATATGTCATTATTGACTTCAAAAGATTGAGATTTCATGTGTTATGAAATGCATGTAGGTGCTGTTTTATCTTCTTTAAATTGATTGGAAATGTCTTCCTTTTCTCCTTAGGTGTGTACTGAAAATGGATCATCACTGTCCTTGGTATGTTTTTCTTTCTTTTCTGTTACATGCTGATATATAAAGAAGTAACTACATGTTATTTCTAGGATTCCTATATGTTAGTCCTAGGAACATTGAATAGACTTGAGTAAAATGTTCAGAAGATCTACTTAGGATTGTTCTCTAGATCACCTTGAGTTGGATTCAACAGATTTCCCCCCACACACATACTGGTGAAAAGGGGCTAAAAGCCATGTGAGCTGTAATAAGAAGGAGAATTGGGGAACTGGGTGAGATTGGATGTAAAAGCAGTTTGGATCCCACCCTTTGTCCTTGCTGTACTGTAAAATATGCCAGGAGCAGGAATAACTAGGAGTGACTTCTTCTGGGGAAATGTGAACAGGCCAGCCAAGAGCCACCATGGGCTCTCAGACAGAGATTCTCATTGGGCCTTCCTTGCCCCATCCATACCCAGTGTCACATGATTTGCCAACACCATGGGCTCCAAGGATGACCAAGTGCTACTGGACACTTGTTCTTTTTCCTGATAGACTAACACAGCTACCCATCTTGATACATTTTATTGTAATTTTGATTAGTTATTATTGATTTTGCTTTTAACAGATTACACTCTGTAAACACAAGTCCAGGTCTGCAGTCCCTGCTGTGTTAGCATTAATGGAAGCTTTCTCATTGATTTAGATAAGTGCAGGATGATACTCTAAGAACCATTAATAATAATGATATTTTGTGACAGTTCCTGTTGAATGATTACAAGAATGTCTTTCAGAATTCTTAAAGCTTGAAATAAAAGTGAGTGTGGAGCCAAGAAAGGAAGAACTGGGATGTTAAAGAGAATCCATAAATGGAAGCATTTATGCAAATATACAGATTATCTACATGTATGCATAGTCAGTCATGCTGGAAATGCTGCATGTTTCTTGGTAAAGGGACAGTTTTATGTCTTGATTTCAAATGTCATGCATAATAAGAGAGACCTAATTTGTCTGACCTAAAAAATAATGTTTTGGTTGATGCTTTTAAGTTACTTTCAGAAAATATTTTTGCTGGTAGATTAAATGTAATCTAAAAAACCTGACTTTATGCCTAGAAGAAAATCACATTTCTCTGACTCAGTAATATTTCCTTTCTTTTCTAGGGTGAATAACTGCGTGGGATTTTCTAACTACAAGTTTTTCCTCTTGTTTTTATTTTACTCCCTCCTGTACTGTCTGTTTGTTGCTGCTACAGTTCTGCAGTATTTCATAAAGTTTTGGACAGTAAGTCTTTTAATTAGATCATCACAATATTTGTCTGTCTAATAAAACATCTAGCTTTTTCATTCATTTTCCACATCAACTGATGCTAGTTGTAAGTGGTTAAATGTCTAATAACATATTATTATATTATTATTTTTAATAATATATGGTTGTAAGATCACTGAAGGTGACTGACACCCTTGGAGAAATTATCTCTTACAGATCACATCTCATATATTGCCCCATGTGCCTGTTTTGAACAAGCACATTGCACTTGAATGTTTAAATCTGAAAATGTAAATATTGTCTTCATCTTATTTCAAAATAGACTCAGTTGTCATGATCTTTGCTTGCTGTTATTGAGCCAGAAAATTCACTTAGGTTATAGTAAATCAGTGATTGTAAAGAATACTTGACAAGGTAGGCTGTAGCCTTTGAAAGTTTATGCCACAGTGAGCCAGATAATCTCTTAAATGCTGGATGCTGCAGACCTGTGTTGTTATGCCTCTGAAAAAAAGCTGGCTTACCATCCACACAACAAGAGAAATTCCCTGTATTAATGTGATAATTTTGCAACACAAAGAAAAAGATAGTTGGGACATCTAGTTTCAAGTCACAATTTGATCAGGTACTCAGTTAGAAAAGGCAATTATGGTTGACCAAGTTTGGGTAAGTAAATTTGATTTCTTAAGATTTCATGTAGAGTGATCTTTTTTAATTTATCCTCCTGTGAGGTTGGTTAAGCAGAGAAAGAGTCAGTTTCTTGCTGAAGGATATTCAAGGCTGAACCAGAATATAAACCAGGATTATACATTTTGCAAAACCAGCATTCTGGCGTCTCCATTACTCTTGTGTACTGCATTAGCAAGTTTCCAGGGGATATTTTTTTCTAAATGTTCCTTTCTTTGGGGATGTTAGTTTATTGAGTAGAAGGAAGTGTTGCCTCTGATTCAGGTGGGTGACATAACTTCCTTGCAGTAGTCTTCTGTGCTTCCCAAGGTTTCAACATTATTTGGGTCACCTGAGAGAGGCAGGAACTTCCTGTTTCCAGAAGTGATCCGTATGAAGTGTGATAACCTATCACAGGACTTTTTTGCATGTATGCATCAGATATGCCATAGCATGGACTGTACTCCAATTTTATGCATGAACTGTCTGGAAGATGTCATGAATGCATCACTGGATCTAATTCCTTCATATACAAAGAAATGAACCTAGTCGAGGTCATGGTTGTAAAAGCATCTTTCTCATTTTAATTGTTCCTGTATTTGATCTCAGCCAATAAGAAAATTCCTTCAAAGGTTTGAGTACCGCTGTTTTCCAGAGAAACATGGCTAAGCCTCCAGGCCAGTTTGTCACAAAATGTTACAATTTATGTCTACTGTTTAAAAATGGGAAAGGGGGTTGGCCTGTTTTCCTTAAATTTCTGTAGGCTTGTGGAGACATACCGGTTCTCTTGTACTAGGGCTGTCTTTCCCACTGGTGTCAGCAGAATCTAAATCTTCAGTTTAAGCTGAATACTGGTGGTCTGTCTTTTATGACGATCAAGAAAACTGTTTTACAAACTGGAACTTTGTATAACCGAGGATGTGTTTATGAAGGTAGTTCTGGAGCATCACTAAACTGGCTGTGGCTGGTTCTCCATGTGAATAATGAAAACTAGGGATGGGCACGAACCTAAAAAGGATGGTTTGGTTTGGGGTTCGGGGCAGCCCATGAACTGACCCCCAAACCAAACCAAATGGCCCAAACCCTTTCAGCAAGTTCGGTTCCCCTTTTCTCCCAGCTGCAGCTTGCAGGGGCCAGGAGAAAAGGAAGAATCACCCGGGAAAGGCCTCCCGTTCGCCCTTTTGGCCAGGAAAATGGGGGCAGGAATTGCCCGGGAAGGGTTAAATGGCTGCTGGCCATTTAAACCTAATGGCTGAGCACTGGACCCTGCAGCCATTTAACCATTCGGTTTTGCTCCTCACTGCTTCAACAGGGGGGGGAGCAAAACTGAAGGGTTAAATGGATCGCAGACATTTAAACCTAACAGCTCAGTTGGTCTGCCATGGGGGGAAGCAAAACCGAAGGGTAAATTGCTCACAGTCATTTAAACCTAACAGCTCTGCGGCAGACCAGCTGAGCTGTTGGGTTGAAACAGCTGCAATCAATTTAACCCTTTGGTTTTCCTCCCCTCCTTCAAAGGGGGGGAGCAAAACAAGAAGGGCAAATGGCTCACAGCCCTTTCAACCTAACAGCTAAGCAGCAGACCCTGCATCACTCCACTTTAGGTTTAAATGGCTGGTCCGAACAGCCAAACCAAACCAGCCAAAAATCGGGTAAATGTTCAGGGAAGGCGCCTTCACCGAACATCATTTCGTGAGCTCCAAACCAGCCCAAGTTCATGCCAGATTTTAGCTTGTTAGCCAATTCATGCCCATCCCTAATGAAAACTGGACAATGGGCGCCCTGGGTATGCAGAAATATACAAACTTTGTAAATTACCCTCCATTCAATATCATTAAAAAAAACTAGCCCCTTTGAGGGACTGAAAATGCTCTAGAAGAGATAGAATGTTGGGAGCAGCCACCAGCTAAAGGGGGAAAAGAAATGAGACCCTGAGAATTTAGAGAATCCTGTAAGGCATGATCTTGATCAGAGGTGGTTCGCCACTGCCTGCCTCTGCATAGCAACCCTGTACTTTTGTCTGTGGTCTCCCATCCAAGTACTAACCAAGCTGATGCTACTTAGCTTCTCAGATCTGATGAGATCAGGCTACCCAGGGCTGTCCAGTCCAGGACAGGACTTCCTCGGCTTAAGTCCCTCTGTTTATCCAATATGTGTTCAGTAATGCCTTTGCAAAAAAGGGGGAGAGTGCTGAAATAGTTTGTATGATTTCTGAAAGTTAAGCATTTTTGAAAATGATACTGTATCAGTCATTAAAATCCACATAAAGTTACTCTGTAAAGCATGAGGTGATGCAGCCGAAATTTTGTGGCATATCAAGATCCAGTGAGCAATTTGGGTTAATATTTTATACCTGAAGTTCAACATTCAGCAAAAACTAGCTGCAGCATATTATCACTCACCCAGACATTCCCTTCGGTGCCATCAAAAGACTCTAATTTATAGCTGGGTAACAAATTTTAAATAAAACTAGCCTCAGTATAAACCTTTGGAGGCTTCTTACATTTGCATTCAACAGACTGTTGGCTTTAATAGTTCTTCAAATATGGTGTATTAGAGACAGCAATCTCTTCCTTTTAATGGCATGTCCTGAGTCCTCGCCATTAAAAGTAATTACCCTTTACTTTGACTTCATTGTGCAAGCACAAGATCACCTTTACATGTTCATTTAGTGAATGCCGAATAAACCTCCTTGCCATTGGAATGCTGCACGTTTTCTTACCGTGTGCACACACAAGCCATTGAATTTCTAACAACATTTTTACTGTTTCTGAACATCAGCGTTGAAGGGATATAGCTGTTTAATAAATTGTCTTTATTTGCACAAAGCTTTGCCGCAGGAAATCTGCTGAGAATTGTCCAAAGGTAAAAATCTAGTATTGATGCAATTTGAGCTGAAATCTGTTCAAGTGTGCTTTATTTTGTACATTCATATTCCAAAGTGAGTCCCAAGGTGATCGTAATAAAAGGAAATTTATAATCCTTCATCTGTAATACATGGGAAAATAATGTCTCTTTATTTATTTTGAAGTTTATTGTTGGGAGGCTAGGGAAGAAGGCAGTGGTGATAAACATACTGGCTGAGTTAAGAGAAACTGAAACACATTAGTGAGCCAGTGTGGTATAGTGGTTAGAGGGTTGGACGAGGATCTGTGAGACCCAGGTTTGAATCCCTGCACTTGTCGTGGAAACTTGCTGGATGACCTTGGGCTACCAGTCACACACTCTCAGCCCAACCTGCCTCACAGGATTGTTGTGAGGATGAAATGGCGGAGGGAAGAATGTTGTAAGACACCTTGGGTCCCCATTGGGGATAAATGAAATAAATAAATCCCTGAATGACAAAGTGAATTGCTTTTTGGTTTGAGAGAACATCTTTTAGAAAGTGTTGGTTTGTTGAATTAACTGCATTTAAAAAATCTCATTCTCCCAAATCTATATGGAATCTTTTCATACATTTTCTCTCTCTTCAAATAACATGTAACATGCAGAACACATTAAGAAAAGAATTGTGAGATGGATCCCTGTCATTTTTTTGCTCTTAAAGTCTTGCAGTATACCAATGCAATACCAAAATACCAACTTAGGAGTTTTTAAAATGTTCTTTGCAAACCGTACACAAAAGAATTTGGGATGAAGTACTGGTCTCTCTGGGGTTCTTTTACCCATCTGATTCCTGCAATTCAGTTCTCCTGTGTAGGAAATGACTACATGGGAAAGGGAGGAATTGGACTTTAACAACATACTTTGTTGGTGTCATCTCTGTGTCCAAATCTCTTTCCGCAACAATCAGCCTTGGGGTGAACGAGAACTGAGCCCTTCCTTTGTCACTGAAGTAATTAGTGAGGGTTAGGTTTGATTCAGTTTCCTCTGTATACATTTTCCCTTCTAATGATCCATTTATAATGGTCAGGAAAGAAAGAAGCTAAAGAATAAAGAGTGCTCTGTTTCCCATCTCTCCTTCTACCCCTCTCCAGTTCCTTGGGGTTTCCCTGTTTGGAGCAATGAATTTTCATTTTGGGTCAGACCTGCAAACCGTCTAGCTTGTTATTCTGTCTGTTAACATTGGCCATTCAGTCTGTCCTTGGAAACTGAGTGTTTGTCCTTGGCCTATGACAGTGAAAATTGTACAATGAAAGTGAAGGTTGCCCTTATTAGAAAAGCTTGTAGCCATAGCTGGAGATGTTCTCCATGATTTTATCTGATTTTCTAGTAACACCATTTATGCTAATGACCTCTGTAGTGCACTGTACGAATTAATTATGTTATCTGGAAAGATGCGTGTCTGACATTCTCGTGCTTTTGCATTTTAGAAAGAGGGTTATGTTTTTGTCTCTCTTATACTACTCACAGATTTCCTTTAACAAAGGATATTATTTCTTTTTAGGGTTATGCTTTCACAGGAAACATTAAACTCTGTGACTAACAATGTTGGTTACATGCGATTAAAATAAGAACTTTCTGAGTGCTAAATATATAGCCATTCAAACATAATGATATTTGGTTTCATTCAGAGGAGGAAGCTTTATAGGGAAGTAGAACAGAAGGGTTTTTTTTTTAAAGAGATTAATTATTTTTTTCTTCTCCTTCCCAGAATGAATTGCTAGACACACGGGCAAAATTCCACGTCCTCTTCCTTTTCTTTGTGGCTGCTATGTTTTTCATCAGCATACTGTCACTTTTTAGCTACCACTGCTGGCTGGTTGGCAAAAACAGATCAACAATAGGTCAGTAAATACTGGAAAGCAGATGTTGCTGTAAGCAGGTGTTCCCTAAGCAGTGACTTAAAATAAGGCCTAACGTTTAAAGTCCTTTTAGGTTTTGTCCTCTGCCCTTCCCATTGGTCTATCTAACAGACAAATATACTGATCGTAACAGCTGTGATGCTAGGTTTTACCTACTCTTTTCAGAGGTTCCCCAGTTTGTAAACTGATTTTCCAATTGTTTTGAAAGATTTTTAAATGTTTCTGTGTGTCTCAAGTATGCACAAAGTTATATGCAGTGTAAGGCTGCTCACTTGCTCCTACAATAATACCTCACCATGTACAAAGTGTGTGTGTGTGTGTGTGTGTATTCTCTCTCAATCTCCCCCTACCCAGCAGAATGCGTTCCCAATCTGCCACACTAACATCTAGAGTTTTAAAGGTTTTTTTAAAAAAAAAATAAGGAAAAAAGCTGCTTCATTTAGCATCAAAGCTACACTGCCTCACCAGAACCAGGTTCCCACGCACCTTCATTATGATTGTATGGTTCTCCAGCTTTTGAAGGTGTTTTGATGCTAGCAACACTGTGGGAGCTTAAGGGGAACTTGTTCAGGGTAGGGCTTTCTGCATGGCCTGTTCCTTTAGAAATCATCACTAAAAACAGTTCATTGAGAATAAATAGTTACACGATTACTGTAATAATTAATAACTATTGACGTTAGAGTTATTCTTCCTTGTCCCCATCCACTGGTCTGCAGCAGTGATAAATTTGTGTGATTTAGCTTGTCGCGTGAACTTTCTTGAACACTGGCAGAAAAATCTTCTAATACATGGAATAAATTGCAATAAACGTGAGGAGTGTACTGGTTCAAAGTCAGGTACAGCTGTTGAGGCAGCCCAGGACAAAGGCCATAACCCAGAAAACAACCCTTAGGGCTGTGATTCCCAACAAGTTGCCCGTGGGCACCATGGTGCTTGCCAGTGGATTTTGTGGCGCCAGTTTGCTCCTTTATGCGGAAACAGAAAGTCACAGCTCCTTTTCTTCCACCTCTTTGGAGCAGGAGGTGGTTTGAACTCAGGAGGCATCACCTTTGTGTCTTCAGGGACCACCGAAATAGCTGCCTCTGTCGTAGGATGATGCTTGGCTTGTATGTCATAGCTTGACATACTTTTTTGAAAAATCCTGCTGGTGGTCCTACAATGCCATCCTAAGCAGCACTACGCCTTTTTAAACCTGTGGACTTAGAAGGGTGTTACTCTGCACAGGATGGCATTGCTGATCTACTACAGAAGAGATGTCTGCCTTTCTCTTTCCGTACCCCTTCCTTACCGCTTCCTCGTTTTTCCTTTCTCTGTGTTTGTGTGGTACAGAAGCTTTCCGGGCACCCATGTTTCGAAATGGACCAGACAAAAATGGCTTCTCTCTTGGATGCAGTAAAAACCTGAGAGAAGTTTTTGGAGATGAAAAAAAGTATTGGTTGTTGCCTGTTTTTACAAGGTATTCTTATTTAAATTCTGTTTTCTGAGCTTCAAAAAATGTTGAAAGAGTAAAATCTGGAGTTTTACAACTAAGTCTAAACAGTGTTAGGAGAGGAAATACAGCTATTTTACAAAATTTCACAAAGCATCTTCAATTTTAGAAATCTTCTGATTTTAAATTGTATAGTCTCCAAACACTAATCTTGCTACATGCTAAATTAAACGTTTTCCTGTCTGCATAGAGCTGTTTTCTTAAGTATTGTTTCTACACAGTGGAGCAGAAAATATGTAGGTTATATCCTTTGGTATAAATGTAGGAGATATATATGACTGTTGTTCTGCTTCAGGCATTCTTAGACATATTTAAATTATCATCCCTTATGTAGACCTCCACTCCTTGTTGTATCCTGTTTTTATTTATAATTCCTCTTGTGAACATATGAACCTGCCTTAAACTGAGATGGATCATTGGTCTTTCAAGGTTGTTGTTGTCTTCTCTAACTGGGAGTAGCTCTCCCAGGTCTCAGGTAGAGATATTTCTCATCATTTACTGCCTGATCTGTTTACCTGGAGGTGCTGAGGATTGAACCTGGGATCTTCTGCCACTGAGCCATGGTATCAACTTGCTTGTATTCTTCAGAGGGCACTTACAGAATTCATGCAACACACAAGTCTAGTTCGTTGCATCTTTGTAGCAAAATGTCAAGGAATTTTCTCAACAACAGATCACTCTTCTGGAGTTTAAGGCTGTAATCCTGTGCATGCTTTGTGGGGATTGATATAGTAAGACTTATGCTTTAAAAATGCATAATAGGTGCCCTGCTGGATCAGACTAGTGATCCATGTAGTCCAGCATCCAGTTTCACACATCAGCCCACCAGAGTTATTCAGAAGTTTACCACAATGGGCTATACTAGGTAAAGTCAGCAGTTCACTTAATCGGGTATAATTAATAGAGTATTAACTGAATAGCAGTAGCTAAAAAACATGTTAAGAAACTCTTTAGAAATGTTAAGAGAAATCACAAGGACTTTGAAGCTAAACAGTCTGCATGCAGTTAATTGATAAAACTGCAAATACCTGTTGAACCTGGGATCTTCTGCCACTGAGCCCACGGTATCAGCTTGCTTGTATTCTTCAGAGGGCACTACAGAATTCACGCAACACACAAGTCTAGATCGTTGCATCTTTGTAGCAGAATTTCAAGGAATTTTCTCAACAACAGATCACTTTTCTGGAGTTTAAGGCTGTAATCCTGTGCACACTTTGTGGAGATTGATATAGTAAGACTTATGCTTTAAAAATGCATAATAGGTGCCCTGCTGGATCAGACTAGTGATCCATGTAGTCCAGCATCCAGTTTCACACATCAGCCCACCAGAGTTATTCAGAAGTTTACCACAATGGGCTATACTAGGTAAAGTCAGCAGTTCACTTAATCGGGTATAATTAATAGAGTATTAACTGAATAGCAGTAGCTAAAAAAAACATGTTAAGAAACTCTTTAGAAATGTTAAGAGAAATCACAAGGACTTTGAAGCTAAACAGTCTGCATGCAGTTAATTGATAAAACTGCAAATACCTGCAGTCCAGGCATTCTTAAGATTTGAAGCATAACATTGCCCATCTCCAAGCTTACTACTCATTATAACATCCATTAATTTTATGTGTGTGTATCAAAACCTTTTAGGATGAGACTCAATTTTTCATGTCTAACAGTGAACAACAATTGTGTTGTCAAAGACAAATAATGTGTATAGCTTCTAGCATGTTTGCTGTAATGGTGTGCAAATGAGATGTTGTTAAAATGTGCCATTTCTTTTTATATTTGTAGCGCACCCTTCAGTGTTGCAAAAAGCCAGTATTCTCCTGCTATGTAATACCTACATGGTGATATGCTATCTATATGCACTGATCCATCCAATTGAATGCATTAGTCCTTTTCTTCACTCAAAGCACTCGGGTCTTTTTAAAAGTGTTTTAATAATCAGTATATTAATTATATATTAACTGCTTCATATTTATTTTATCATGCAGCTTAGGAGATGGCAGTAACTTCCCAACGCGCTTAGTGAATATGGATCCAGAGCAGCTTACTGTCTCAAGCCAAAATGAGCCTGCCAAAAGGTATTTTTATTTGGCTTTTATTTTCATTTATCTCAGTGCACCATTTCAGTAAAGCAGAGAAAACACATTTTGTCCACTGTTAAGTTTTGTAAAGAAAGCTGGCTACAATAGACTCCTGTCAAACTCCTCTTTTTCTCATTCCTATAGTCTGCTTTTTGTTTCTACTCCGACTTTCCCCACGGCTACTTCTGAGATGTGGACTTATCAGAGCCTTTATTTTTGTATTTAGAATATTTCTGTGCCGCCTCTTCAGAGTCCTGCTTGAAGCGGCTTACAATTAAAACCACAGTATTAAGAACCTGTTGGATTTGATTGTAATCTAGCAGGCATAGGCATAACGTTTGTGGGGGCCGTGGGACGTCAGCCTTCCCCTTCGAAATTTTCAGGAAGGTGCTCAGCCTCCCCTGGGGGCAATTGGTTCCAGCCACCATTGCTCCCCCCACCCCACTCTGAAACTATGTTCAGTGACTGGGTTGGGACCGGGAGGGAGGGAAGTTAGGGTGGGGGCTTGCTTCCTCCTGGAAGTGAAGCCCCACCCTCAGCTCCCAGCTGCCCTTAGTTCTGCCGAGCTGTACGTGGAGTCTGGCTTCCCTGGTTTCCCCCATGCACACACACACACAAAGGTAGGAAGCGTGCTTGCTTGGGCTATCCCTTACCGATGAGTCCTCGAGGCGCATTCATTCAGCCCGCCTCTCTGCCCCCCCTCACCCAGCTACCAGTAAAATCAGTGCGGACTGGGAGGGGAACTTGGCCCGGCGGACTTGCCCTGCCGAAGGGAGCGCCGAAGCTCAGGGGCTGCAGTCCCTCCCACATCCCGGACGGCCTCCACAGCACCTCCTCCACTTCTTGCGCCCGGCTGCTGCCTTCCTCTGATTCCCCTTCGCTGCTGCTCTTGCTGCTGCACGCTGGGACCAAGCTGGCTAGCTTTGTAAGGGCAAGGGTGGGGTGGGGGCCTGAGAGAGGGCAGTGTTCAGTGAGCCTGAGGCTGAGTAGTCTGAAGGAAATCTGTCTTTGCTCTCTTTGGAATACCCTTCTCGTCCTCCCCACCCATCTGTTGTGCTGTTTTTATTCTCTCGCCCCGTTTTTTTTTAAAAAAACCCTTCAGTTGTACTTCAGTTTCGTCTAAGTGTGTGAGTGCCCCCCCCTGCCGCCTGGGCTTCTACTCTCTTTTTATTCCCCTCCCCCCCTCCCCCCATTTGGGCTGCCTCTTCATATAAATATGTGTGTGTTTTCTCCCCCTCTTTTGTTTCTTTGTTTTTAAAATTCCCCTTTCCCCAGTGTTTACTTTTGTGGCATTTTATAGTGTTCACTGTCCTGCCAACCTAGCAGTTCGAAAGCAAGAAATTGCAAGTAGATAAATAGGTACCACTTCAGTGGGAAGGTAACAGCGTTCCGTGCGCCTTGGTGTTTAGTCATGCCGGCCACATGACCACGGAAACGTCTTCG